TAATTTTAAAATTATTTAATTTATTTCTTCAGTTAATTTTATTTAAATAATACAACAACACTCTACTAAATAAAATATTTCATTTAAAACTTACTGTAGTTGTTTGAGATTTTTCTTTATTTTGCTAAAAAAAATTTATAATTTTTATATAAAACAATTCAATTTTTCTTTATTTGTATAATAAATTATAAATTTTATATAAAATATTTCAAAAATTTCACTTTAAACAATTAAAAAAATGTCTTACCATGTCATAATTTTTTAATGACATATGTACAATCTGAAATATGTATCAAATATATCTTTAAATTTATAATATAAATTAATTCAATTTTAAATATATTATCAAAAGAATAATACATTTTTAAATTGCTCAAAGACCTCGCAGGTAACAGTAATATTATCGCTCCATCTGGTAAATACCTATGAACATTAATAAAAATCTTCATTTAAAATTAATGATAGATTAATGATTGTAAATGTATGTTTAATAATTTACCATATCAGATAATGGATCACATTTATCAGACATTTCATCAGAGTTATCACTTTCAGATGATTTGTCATCTTTATTATCACAGTTGTCTTCAAGATGGTCCTGAATTTAAATTTCATTTATTTGTAATTTATTTAAATTTATTATATATATATACATATAATATTTTACTTACAATTAAGTCATGGAAAGTGCATTGTGAAGCCTGGAATTAATTAAATTTTTTATTTATTTATCATTTATATATTAGGAGTAGAACATGGTTTACCTGTAATATATTCTCAGAGATAGTGCAGTTGGTTGTTTGAATATTTGCATCTGTATATTCCTAACATATTAATTCATATTTCAAAATTAAATATATAATACTTGTATTATAAAATTTACTGAGAAAATATATTTACAGAATCATTTAAATCAGTACAGATCTCCTGTGCAGCTTCTGATTGAATAGTCTTAGATGATGACGAAGATGATGATTGTATTCCACTATTTTCTCCATATTTTCTTTGCTTTTATTTAAAAATGATTAAAAATTATAATGGTTATTTATCTAATTAAATTTATTTTATAAAATAATATTGAAATAATATTAAAATTTGAATATTTTTGTTGAATGTAGATAAGTTAAATGGAAATGTTATTACTTACCAGAAAATCTTTTAAGGCCAAATAAAGGACCTAAATTGAAATTTTTATTTATTATTATTAAATTAAAAACCATATAAATGTATAATTTTATTTAAAATATATAAAAACAAAACTTTATTACTTAAATACCTTATTAAGTCTTCTATACCAAAAAGAATTTAATTGGTCACAGCAATCATGAAAGGATGAAAACAACTGTAAATGTTTTTTATTAAGACATTTTATAAATGAGTTATTTTTATTAATAATTAATTTTATTATGTTACTTACTTTAGTACTCATATTGAAAATGCAAGCCATAGCTTCCTGTAAAGATGTTAATAAGTTTTAATTAAGAGAAAGAGAATAATAATTTTACAAAATGGTTCCAAACTATGGAAACAAACTTTAAGAGTGGATTCCTGGAAGAACAAAAAACAAAAATATGACCAGAAATGTACCAGAAATAGATAACAACACTGGACATTATAACATCAGATACCCTTATCAGTAATCATAGTGATGAAAGTGGAAGTATGTAGCATGCTATCTGTCTGCTGAACAGATTCATGTTGTAAGTGGGAGGTGTTTGCTGTGAAAATGACCAATTATTCCTATCAGGAACAGGAGAACATGTTATTCACATTCAGAAAAGTGAATGAAAATGGTCTGGAGGCCACACAGTTATATCATGTTATACCATGAGGTGAAGTGTGATCACTTGTATTGAGACCAATGCAGGATATTTTGAGCATCTACTATGATTCTACCTGAGATAAGTATGCCATACTGTTATGTGCATTTCCAGACATGTTAATATGTTTCAAGACAATGCACTTTTGTTCTTTGTCCTACCACGAATCCATTCCAGATGTTTATCCCCGTAGTTTTAATTCAACCTGTATAAATATCTACCTACTCCTTCAATGGTATAGTCACAGCCTTTATATGTTTTGCAACAAGAACCAAATATCTAAAACAAATAATTCAAAAAATTAAAGATATTTATTATTATAAATAATATAAATAATAAATTATATTAATTTTTCACCTTTTGAATTTCTTCAATCATACAAGGGCATAATTTTTTCTAAAAAGATGATTTTAATTTATAAAATACATAATTAGATTAAAATAAGTTAATTTTCATCTTATGTAAATTTTTTAAATATTTTAAAATTTTACCCATGATTTAGGAATGGAACATGGTTCTTCCTACAAATAATATAAAATAATTAAGAATAATTACTTTTAAATTAAAAATTTCTTAATGTTATTGATTATAAAGAATTTAAGATAGAAAAGTCTGAAGGATTTTTATTTATATCATCCATTATAACAAAAGTCATCTCGTTAAAGAATAGGTGTTCAGAACTCTCTGCATAAAGAATTATTGGGGCAAATCTTAACAAAATTGCCCTGTAATGGATATACGATTTGTACTTTCGTAAAAAGTTTTATTTCAAAATTAAACCGCAAGGGTAAAATTTGGCGTTGCTGCTCCTTTAATGTGTACAATACACACGTTTCCTGAGAAATTTTAGATATGAAATATTCAAATTGGATATGAAATATGGCGCTCATTTGCCTCAGAATACAAAGAGCACCTGTCTGTGATGTAAACTTATTAGAAAATGTACTGTACAGTACATAATGAACACGTTATGCAGCGCCAACTTCTCCCTAGTGGCTGAATATTTAAGTCAATTTTATTCAGAAAGTCAAAACGGCATACTCAGGAAGGCACGATTACCAAATTTGTTTGAAATTTAACAGATAGTTCTTAGCACATATTCTTTAACTGTGATCATTTTTTTGAAGTTTATTCTTCTTTAAATTAATATTGTGAAAGATTAAAGATGGTTAATTAATTGATATAGAAAATCTGTAATTGTTTAAAAAATTCTTCATTAATAATTTATTCGTCAATACTTTTTAAAAAATACAAAAATCGATAATATTTAACGATTTAACCTACTTATAGAAGTGATATTGTATTGTGTAAATTCGTTTTAAAAAATATGCATAAATGATTAGAATTTTATCACGATATCTGCATGTATAAATATTTTGCTATAAAATATGGGCCTATTTCACATTTATAAAAAAAATTAATTTATTTTAATAATAAAACAAATAATTTTAGTTTCAATATAAAAAATGGCCTAAACGTCATTTAACCATTCTAATTATAAACTGCTGTTTTATTTTAAATACTGTATTCGTTCAAAGTGGAATATAACGCTTTGGCCATTCTATAGAATATTCTACCTGTTAATTAGTTTAATTTTAATAATAAGGTAGGCTAAGATGTATTTGTTTTAGTTATGTCACTATGGGTGTTCCTTGTAAGGCTCACAACCGTACAAGCCTCATCTTTTTTTTTTCTTAAATTGCTCATAAAATTTGTAACTTTTCTTATATATTAAATCTATTAATTTTTTTAACAGTTTGCTTTATTCTAGTATTTTATAACAGGTTAAAAGGTAAATGAAACTTTTATGACTTACTCCTTTTGATTGGTTTGAACTTCCAGTACATTCATTTTTGGCCTTGAGAACGCAAACATCGAACATTTTAACAACCTAAAATTGTATTAACCAGATTATATATAAATCTAAAATATAAATATTAATCTAATTAAATGTATAGACATTTATTTGTAAGTAAATATTTCTAAATTTTGCCACGTAATGTATGCTTTATATACCCGTATACGTTATGTATGTACCGTACCGCACGTGTTTACGTGCCTTATATACACCTGTATATAAGTTAAATATGTACGTATTTATATACATTTTTACATATATACGTAATTTTTTTTTTTAAATAATAATCTTCCTTTCTGTTTTTACACTTTAAATACAGCATGTAAAAATTCTTCGCTCCCTCTTCTTAATTATAGCTTAACTGTAATAAAAGTTTTATTCTAAAGATAATTTTATAATAAAAATAATTTATGAAGACCATTTCTAATCTAAATAAATTATTTATATTTTTAAAATATAAATTTAAACGCTTACATTAGATGAAAGTTTCGTTTTCAAACAATTCGCTCCAGGATTTCGTCTTTGGCATTCTGTAGATGGTATACAGATCATGAATTATAATGTTTACGATTTATTTGTTACATAAAAGGACAAACAGATAACATTAATAACGCATTCAATAAAACCTATCTAAAACGGAACCTGGATAAAACGGAAACCTGCCTAAATAGAAAATATTCTTTGAAACGGAGTGATTTTATATGTTAAATAAAACTGTTCAAAACGTGCGATTGCGGTTTACACAGGTTTTACTGTGTTAAATTCCAAGTTATCGTTTGTACGTTCGAATAAACAATTACGCAAAGACCCATGTTTAAACATGAATATATTAATTGCATACAAGTTAATGAAAACTTTAAAATATACACAGTTTTAAGAAAAAATACATGAAAATTTATGTGATCTAATGGAAAAAATTGTTAACTTTCTTCTGTTTGAGAAAAGATTCTTACATCGACTATTTAAAACTATAAAATGTTTAAAAATATATGTACTATAATATAAAGAATAATAAATTAGTTTAACACAAAACAAGATTTAGAATTTTAAAATTTAAAAACTTGGATTATTATACGTGGAAAAGAAAAAAAAAACTACAAATAACGGTTTTACCTGATAACTTTCCAATGTAAATTATCATCAAAGCGACGAACCAAACAATTTTGAATGTCATTTCTTACAGGATGAACTAGATAACAGTTTTCACTGACTATCCCTCAACTTTTATTTTTATACTTTGGTAACATAATTACTTTGCAAACAGAAGGGGCCACCGCTCTCCCACTTCCTGAAGTTATTTGGATAATTGTTAGAGTTTCCTGTGCCTTCTATTTAGGTTTCGACTATAATGAATGACACTGTTTATAACAAAACAAGCCATTCTGTTCAAATTGATAGCTTCCCTCATTAACATGATTACCTTCAAACCGTCTGCTGAACAAATAAATTTCTATTGATGGCAAATGTTGTGAATTGAAGCAAGATATTACTTCTGTGACTAATGCACAATTACTGAGTCAGTTCCATTGAAATGACATGTTATGAAATAATTCGAACAATGTTGAAATTCTAGAAAGGTGTTTGAATATGCTTTAGAATTAGGGCATTTTCTACCAGAATACTCTTATAACGATTTTACATGTGTTAACATAAATACAGGCAAACTATTTTGAATAGAAACGTTTCGGATGATGATAATACTTTATGAATTATACAGAAGTGGCATTATTTGTAATTTAATTTATTAATTGGTAACTGTTGAGTAACTGGGAGAATCTTCTAAATGAGCACATCCTGTTAAAATGTAAGTTAGTAAGCAAATTTTTTTTATTAATTTGGTATTTTTTATTCCTGTATTTTTCTAACAATTTCGTGGAATTTTGTAGATTATCGCTCTGCTGAACAACGTGATGAAGATGACATTGCTGTTTCTCTTTCATTGAACCTCTACAGCATGGCGCAGGATGGTGTTTGCTGTACTTGGAACCTAATCGAGTTCGAAAACAAACAAATAAAGAAAATTAGGTGACTATTCGTATAGTTTATAATTATTTTAGATTTTTGTTACAAAACCATAAATATTTTAATGATTTTATTGTAACTATACATGAATTTTCTCACTTGTCCAAACAGTAACAGCAACACACTTTGAAATCTGAATAGGATTTATAAATCTCTATTAAACGGTAATTCTTTCGAGATTGATGAAAATATATGTTTAATAATCACTATTTATTCATAAAATTTATTTTTCATGGAAGATAATTAAATTTACTGTTGGTAATTACAGCATAAGTTGCTAATTCTGCATCTTTCCACTATTGAAGATTCATATGGTCCAAATTATTAAAAAGCTTATCAAATTTTTAATTATTTTTTCATAAGAAAACACGATAAGCGTTCAAGGTACATTACAGCCACTTGAATAAGGATGAAATTATTTGAAAATTTATACAAACCTTAAATGGATAAGCTAATTAGTTGGACAATAATATCATTGTTGCATATAAAATTTTCATAATTGTATTGTTTTATTACTTTTTTTTATTCGTATTTGTGTTATTAGTTGAAATGCAAATATCCTAAATTCCCATAGATCTAGTTTTTGTTGAATATGAACCAGTTTCAGCATTATTGACTTGAAATTGATCATTGATGCACCCCTTATCTGTTAATGGATTAAAATCTGATATCATGGCATTTACATCATAAGACAATACGATGGCTTCTATTTTCATATTGAGAAGATATAATTTGTTATAATGGAAGTAAAATAATGTACCTAAGATTTCTCTGATTCATTTTTATATTAAAAAATATTTCCAAAATTTTTTTATTTATACCAGACATTTTAGCCTCTTTTCTAAAGGCTTGCTGGCATAATAAATGCATACTGCTCCCTTTAAGAACTTTATCGCATGTACAGTACCATCATTAGGATGTTTGTATTCAGGAGAAGCAGCCAAAACAATCTTTTTCCATTGCTAATTATGTATTTAATTCTTACAGTAACATGTCGTTCAGTTCTATCCACTATTAATAAAAGAAATTTGTCTTTAAAATAGATGCATCTTTGATGGTCATAGTATGTGTCTAATATATTTGTCTGTACGTACTGTATGTAGCATTTAAAGGCATTTTAAAAGTAGTAATTCTAGATGAGATATTGATTAATAATTAACTTGCAAATCAGTCGAATAAAAGCAAGAGTTCGTTCGTTTCTTGTCTTTCTGTCTTTATTGCTGAGACATATGTGACATCTTGATGTTTTAGTCTCTTTTCTATGTTTGTGCTGTGCTGTATCTGCTCGAATTGAATTATCTTTTTTAATTCCAAAGTAAAACATTCTTGAACGATATGTATTTCGCAATCCATTTATCAAATGAAAACACATCATACAACAGTAAAAAATTAATAAATCAAACCAGAACAACATGCAATCAGCCTCGCATTCCAAGAACTCATTTTCGCAGGAACACATTGTAAAGATTATTTGTAATATCTTTTCGAAAAATGCAATAATAACTACAAAATAGCATTTCACAACCTCTTTTTGTACAAAAGTACTATACCGTCTTTATCAAGTCTTGTAAACGAGGGTGCAAGCGAGTGCGGAGCATAGAATTTTGGATTTCCTGATCGATAAAGTACAAACAATTTAATGTTTTTAATTAGAAATTTTCTAATATAATTTTTTTCATTGGTTACAAAAGAAATACGGAAACCTGCACTCAGTAAAACGAAAAGAAATATTTGGCATGTCTTCCAACTTGGTATACTCATTTGAGGCACAATTATTATTGCGAATAAGTAAAAATACCTTAATTTCTTCACGCACTCGAGTTCCATGACACGATATTTATCATTATAATTTTTAAATAGTAAAATTCATTTTTTTATTTTTAATTCTTATTAAAGTTAGCTTTATTTGGAAGCTCCATATATCTGAGTGCCTCCAGTGTTGCTCTTCATGCATCCGTACCTAAGTATTAAGATAATTGTGTACCAGATTAAGATGGCTGATACAAAAGCTAAATACCGGTATTATGAATTCAGGAAGCTAAAGTACCTGTTACTTCTGTGTATTATATCAGCTGTAAGTCTTAATTTAATTACTATTCTATTATAATCAGATTAAAATGATTATAAATTATGATAATAAGGATAATATGCTAAATATATATTTTGTACATTTTATTGGTTATTTTAAATAATGGTTCATCTTTAATCGGAAATTTTGATCTCGTGATTTAAGGCAAGTAAATAGTCGAATCTCCAATAATGGCTACCTCCTAACAACGGACACTTCTAAACAGCGGTCATTTTTTCCCATAAACATTCTTTAAAAAAAACAGGAAAAATACGTGCAAAATAACCTCCAAACAACGGCTGCTTCCGAATTACGGCTATTTTTATGTTCTGATCAGTGGCCGTTGTTTAGAGATTTGACTCTATATAAATGTTGTAACAGTGTTTACATGTTCATTCATATTCATAGATTTTCTTTCAGATTTTATTTCATATATAGATATTTTCGCCTTAAAATAGCAATAACCCAATGATTAAAATGAAAAATAATTATGTATGAAACATAAGAATATCATTTAAAACTGAAAAAACCTTAATAAAGTTATTGTTACAGTACACAACTGTAACAATAATGTAATAAACAACCTCAGAAAGACATGAAATAAGTTACGACTCTTCTAAAAATTACTTGATATTGAAACTTGAATCAATATCTGATTTTTAAGATATTTAATCTAATATACTTACCATTATTTTTTTAAATAAGAAAATTAAAGCAGTAGGCCTATATAGTAAGGATTTTGTAAGTTAGTGAATATTTTGTGATATACAGGGTATAGATAGAAACATTGTCACGCTATATTTCGCCTCTGGTAGGCAATAAGTCTAGTACAATTGCATTATATTCTACTGAATTGCGATTACCTACAGTACGTTCAAGTGCAACCGCACTGGAGCCCCGTATGTAATCAGTAGTGGGCTATTCTTTGGTTTTGACGCCATACCAAATCAAAGAATGAATGCTTACTACTTTCTCTCTATCCTATGCAAACATCTCTACTATAAGGTACATTAGTTCCTGTAGCCGTACTGTACTAATCCATATATAAGTTACATATACACCTATCTACATACAGCTAAGTATAACACATCATTTAAACTACAACTAATTTGCTTTCTATCCTTCCACGTAACACTGGAAAGTGGTTGGACGGTGTCAAAACCGAATGGTAAAACGTGTGTATAGCTTTGAGCACTTAAAACCATGCAGAGAAATCTCTTCTCTTTGGATATTTTAATTGAACATAATCATTTTGTACTGAGTTTGAAATCTCTATGACTCTGTAACATATTATTATCCATTACATTATCTTTCATGGTGCTCGAGATAGGACTTGCCCCACGCAAAGGGAATTTGGGGATGCATTGCGACCTAACCAACAAACAATACACAAATCTCCCTGCAAAATTTTAAAAATTTTCGTCAAAAGACGTAGAAATTATTAAGCTACCCAACAAAATTATGCACCCCCACACAAACACACGCTAACATCCATATATACAGAAATAACCCTGAATTTTTTGCATTTCTCGGCATTTCAAGGTTCCCCGAGTCTCAAACTGTAAAAATCTTGGGGGGTCATTTTTGGCATACTTTCCCTCTGTTATACACTGCTGGCCATCCAAAATGCAACACCCTGGAGGAAGCATCCAAATCAAGTAAAATTTGCACCATGCATTTGTGGTGATGAGATATGCAAATGATTAGCATTTCAGCACAAGCGCACATCATGGGCTCCTGTTGCACCACCTGCAAGCGCTATATAAAGGGAGAATAGAAGGCCATGTTGAAGTACTGAAATTGTTCTTTTGTGCATTTTTTGGCGTAAGCAGCTTCAGTATGCCACGAAGAAGAAAACGAGCATCTTTTGAGCCCGTTCCTGAGTTTGACCGAAGAAGAATAGTTGGCAACTATTCTTCTTCTAGTTTAACTATTTATTATATATATATTATTATTTATTATATAATAGTTCAACTATTCTTCAACTATTCAACTATAGCGATTGCGGATTATCCTTCAGAGAAATCGATGATCATGTTGGACGTAACCAAGCAACTGTGATGCGGACCTGTAACCGCTGGATGCAGGAGGGAACAACGGACCGACAGGACTGATTGCA